TTGGAATTGCATTTGTCTATTGAAAGTTTCCTCCTCTAGCTGCATCTGGAATGTTTTTTGTTGCTCTAATATTGTCATCTGTTGTTCCGACTGGAACTTAAAGAATTCCCGGAATATATTTTTGCATTCCTCCAGCTTCGCAAAGGTTTACACAATGCCTAAATAATGTAGAGGGGGTCCTACGAATTTGCAATTCGTGACCTATTTGAGCAAACTGTATTATCGGGAAAAAATATTTCTTTTCTCTGTTCAGATTACGACAGATTTTTTCGTCACTAAGTTGACGTCTTGGCTTGCGAAAAACTTTGCCAAGATTTTTTTTTTTTTTAAGTGTGAATCCGAGATTTTGTCACCGAAATTATTGTGGCGAGCGATTTTTTTTCTTCCTCCGTATTAGCCATATATTGTTATGGCGAGAGAATTTTTTTCCCACCGTATGAGTTCGAGTCCCTCGTCGCCAAATATTATTTCAACCTCCTTGGTTACAATTTGTTGGGAGCAGTTGAGCGAGAGACCCACAAAACATTGTAACACCAAAGATTAACTGAAGGCAAATATTATGGCAGCATTCACCAAATTAAACAAGGAGACCGCCCAGAAGATTTGCAGAAGATTCCGAAGTCGTGTGAAGGCCCTGGTTGAAGCGATTTATTGAATAAATTTTCTCTTTAGTGGTTCTCGATGTTTTTGTGCAATATTGGGTACACACACACAAACACACACACACACACACACACACACACACACACACACACATATATATATATATATATATATATATATATATATATATGTTAAATATAAGTGTTAAAATGATTTGTTTTTGTTATTTAGACGACACTTTATCACTCGCACCTTGTATTTCTCCGGCTCTCTCCTTCCTAATTTGAGATTCAGGTTTTCCATTTGCGCTTCGAATTGAGCCTTGGTGTTGTCTAGCGTACAGTAAAACCTTTCAATTTCTTCTGCTGTACTCTCAATGTATATACAAATTGAAAGGCTTTCCTTTCAATTTAATCACACGAATTATTTCACATAGTTGATAGTATCGCTGATCACATTTCTTCATATCTTGTTCTAATATTGTTGTGGCCTTGTTAGGGCCAGAAATGAAGACACAAGAGAGGAATTAAGTTAAACAAATATATTAACAGAAACACTAATACAAACATATACAAACGAGAGTGTTACAGCAAGAATGTTCGGCCCGACTGTCAGATCTGGCTACCGGAAACTTCCCCCCTCCAAAAGTCTGTACCTGTTCCTATTTATAGCTGGGAGAGTCAATGCGATCGTGGGTAAATTACCATAGCAAATGTCAATCCTAGTTTCTATGCGTTTATGTTTTTAGAGAATATAAATAAATCTAAAATATATGCCTGTGTAGCTAATCAGTATTTCATTTCTTGATACATTTCATAGGGTCTTATTTAAAGCCAGAAGATATTTATAGATTGTAAGAATTTTGGGGGATAAAAAATAGCTTAGTCATACTAATTAATTCCATGCTGGGGGAAAGATGGTGTAGAGCATACCTAACCTGAATTTGATAAATAAACAATAAATTATGATATGGATATAAAGTGGGGGATCAATTCCATATTAAAATTAACATATAAACTGTTCCCTCATTTAGTAGCCACGTTAGTTTCTATACATTTATATTCCAGAGAATGTAAATAAATTTAAAAATCCTTGTGTAGCTAATCAGTATTTAATTTCTATGGCTTATCAAACATTTGCAGGTTATTTAAAGACAGAATAAATCTTTCTAAGATTGTAAAATTTTTTTGGAGTTAATAATAATTTATTGATACAAGTCTTATTAATTAACCCGTATTTGGGAAGAAAGGGGATAGATTCTTAGCTTTCCTAAAGATATTTGCAATATAACGAACCCAACTGGAATTGGAACTCGTTTTCCGATTAGCAATTGCTTATCAATTACACCACCCTCACATCCAAGCTTACAACAGCTGGTATGCCCAAGGGGTCAGCCATCCAGGTACTGACCAGGCTCGACGATTTCTTAACTTCGGAGATTATATGTGAACTGTCGTTTCAAAGTGATCTAGCCGTAAATCTACGTTTTTGTATTCATATTGAATTTATAAATATGTTGTTGCTATTTCCACTAAAACTTTTGTTTTGTGCAAAATTGTCCAATAGATCTTTCAAGCTTGCGTCCATAATGCCTTCATAGATATTAAGAACGCTCAGAAAGGAATATTGTTCTTCTATTCATTCTCCATTGATAACTGTATAAATTGTCGAAACGAACTCCTCATAATCCAAAGGGCGCTCTGTCCATCCAGCTCACGTGGTTGGTGGCTAAATGTATCATTCACGTACTTAATCCAGATTGAAAGTTTCAAACGTTTCCATGGAGATGTTTGGTACAGTAACAGAAGGTGTGTTATTAAGAATGCTAACGATATTGCGAGCCAACTTGAAAATGACAGTGGAAAGTACTGTGCTGAATGATGGGCTAAGTTGTAGCTGCGTTCAAATGGGATAAGGTGTAATACGATGTGATTTACATGGGTCACATTGATTATATGGTTTGGAATGAGATACCGAATAGAGGCGTTCGTTACATCAACTTACGTAAAAGTACTCTTAGAAGCTATGGGTTAAATAGACTAAAGAAAACTGTGCTCTCCTGCCGTGGTTGGCAATAATTCTAGAAAGACCAAATTTATAAGCGCATATGGCTCTGGGAGCAAATCAAAGCACTCGAAAGCGACAGGATGTTGCGCATGGTTAGTAGCAGAATCTAAAAGAACAGATTGTTGAAACTGAACTGTAATGTGACATGCAAAAGATCCTGCATACTAGACAACTGATGAGACCTAGTTATTCCAAGTTAGATTGAAACTGCTGGAACATACAGAGTAGGGCCTTGTGTCCTCAAATATATGCATAATCAAACCCGTTTGATAATACATGTTAGTATCCCGTCGGAAGACTTAGTGGTTAAGTGGGTTGTGACAATCCTTCTCAATCATAGACGATCTCGTTATTACATCACTTCTTAGCCTCACCTTTCTATGGGCCGCTGATATCTGTCCAGAATTCATTTTATCCAAAGAAATCATAGTTTCCACCTTGGAGATTAAGTCCTTACTCTCTTTAGCCACAGATAGATTTCACCAAATACAAAGCTCAAGAGCCACTCAATGTAGATGTCGTCCTTTATATGACGATAAAATACATCCCCGTCCTGGGTATGACGATAAACAACATCCGCGTTCTAGGTAAGACGATAAACTACATCCGCGTCTTGGGTATGACGATAAACTACATCCGTGTCTTGGGTATGACAATAAACTATATCCGACAGCAAGGCCTCTGATCAGGAGGTTTTGAGGAGCATGGAACCACCTCTTAATTGCTAGTGTTCCCAGGTTCACCTTGACCCGGAGTGGTAGCACCTGTCATCTATGAGCAAATAGTTAACCCCACAAAATGTGTCAAAACACTATGAAAGTCTGAAAATAGGTTTTAATACCAACAATACATTTTTTGAAAAAATATTACCAGTAATACATTTGTGAAAAGAAAAAATATTACCATCAATAAAATTTTTGTCAGAATTTAATTATTCATTAAGGTTGATATGCCGTAAAACAAAACATCCAAACCAATCAATGTAGATGATTACTGTGTGAGGTGCGTTAGATGAATGTAAGAGGTGGGGGTAGAGGAATATGAGGATTTGTGGAGGGGGTGAATAATGATTAACCTTTTACTTGAAGTTTATTTTTTTAATCAGTTCACATAATGCAAGGAGATAATGGGGCTAAGACGCAAGTGGGGCTGCTAGGAGTGAAATTTGAAGAAAAGACGTTAGAAGAAACCGGAAACCTAAACTTAAACAGGAAACAAGGGATAAGCCTCTATCCCTGTTCAAAAAACCGAGGAGGAGTATTAACCGGACGATAGTTGAAACTTTCTACAAGGATGCAATCACACGTTAATCTGTTTCACAAAGTAGCCGGTTCTTTTAAAATCATTTGACCCCAATTAAGGCAGGAGGTTACAAGGAATGAACATCGAAGAGAAGACTGAGAATAGGGAGGACTGAGGAAAGGAGAACAGGTGAACGGGATTCAAGAAGATAGAAGATGGCGATTGACGTTGCATTTAAAAGATTTTTGAAGATTTTAGTTATCAGAGAAGCAAGTAAACGGGAAAATGTCCCACGGTTGGGAAGTACGATAAAATAAAATATTGGTAATAGAGGAAAGCCACGTCACGTCGGTGAGAAAGTAACTGATGTCAAGATGGCTGGTCAGGATCGATTACATTACAGATCCTTCTTTGGATTTTATCAAGTATCCCGAGATGTACGGCAGGAGCATCAGACCAGATACGGCAACAGTATCCAATGCACGTAGATTTGTAGATGGGGAAGATGAACTCTGACGAGAAAAAAATTCTGGCAGTGACCCAACTTTCCTTGCAGTAGATGCAGCTATAGCTATTGACAAAAAACTGAGTTGAACTTCCTTCTTACATAGAGGAGAAATGTAGGTGATTTGACTCCGTGGATGCAGCATGGCGAGTAATTTCTATAAAATCCGGAAACAGCGGAGCTCATCTGAAAAGTAAACTGAAAATAATTGTGTTGTGTCAAATTAGCAATGTGCACGAGGAAAATTGAAGGAACTCTTTTGATTATGTGGACACTTGTATTTTGTACACTAGAGTGTTTTAACGCCACCCCACCCCTATTACGGCCTATATACATAATCTGGTTGAGTCTATTTGTACAGATGGGGGAGCGGAACACCGTGAAGTGTGCTGCTGTGATTGATTTTTGTGTCCTTCCTCTTTACTCTCTGAGGTCAGCCATGTTTTTGCAGCCCACGATGACGTAAATATGCGTCCAGGGAACTTGTATTCGCTCTCGATCCGTGTCCCGTTATCTTCACACGTTATTTTATTATTTATTGATTGCTACGTATTATCAGAGAAAATTTAGCTTAAATATTAAGTTAACTAAACGGTTTGAGGCTCCTGATTTCCAGCGATTTATGAGCGTGGAGGCCGGAATGAGGGGGAGAATTTTTTATGAGCTTGTTTCCGGGGAAGGAGATAGGGATAAAAGAGAGAGAAAGAGAGAGAGAGAGAAGAGGGAAGAGGGAGATGGGGGAGAAAATGAAAAGAAGAAGGAGCAAGCAAAAAATAAATAGAGAAGAAGAAGAAGAAGAAGAAGAAGAAGAAGAAACAGAAAGAAAAGATAGATGGAAAAGAAGAAGAAGAAACAGAAAGAAAAGATAGATGGAAAAGAAGAAGAAGAAGAAGAAGAAGAAGAAACAGAACAGAAAAGATAGATGGAAAAGAGAAAGAGAGAAATGGAAGACAAAACAGACAAGAAATCCAGAGGGAAACAAAAATAAAGAAAAATAGAGGAAAAAATGAAAAGAAGAAGACCGAGACAAATATAGACAGAAAGAGACTGAAGAAGAATGGAAAAGAGATAAATGAAGAGAAAAAATGAGAGAAAAAAAAAGAAAAAGAAACAGAATAGAGAGAAAGAGAGAGAAAGAGAAAGAGAAAAAAAGAGGAAGGTTTAGAAAAAAATAGAGAATGAATGAAATATGAAGTTTATAAATAGAAAGAAACAAAGAAAAAAAAAGAAAGAAAGAAAGAAGGGAGAGGAGAGAGAAAGATATAGAAGAGGCAGAGAAAGAGGGGAAGAGAATGAAAAGAGTGCTGGAAAAGTGAGGAGAAGGCGATGAGGACAAAAGCATAAAGAAATAAGAGAGAGACAAGAGAAAAAGGAAGACACAAAGAGAGAGAGAGAGAGAGAGAGAGGGTAGATAGCGAGGCAGAGAAAGAAACGGAGACAGAGAAGAGAGTGATAAAGAATGAAACGAGACAGGTAAAAGGAGAAAGATAACAGAAAGAAAAAAAAAACAAAGAAAGAAGAGAGGGAGAGAGAGGAAAAAGAAGGAAAATAGAGAAACAAGAGGAGAGAGAAAAGACAAAAGAGAGTAATAAATAGAAAGGAGGAAAGATAACACTGAGAGAGAAAGAAAGATAAAGAAAAAATGAAGAGAGAGAAAGATGTGATAAAAAACTGATCAGATAAACAGAGATTGAGATTGAGAAGAGAAAAAAAAGAGGCAGGAAAAAGAGTGAGATGAGGAGGAGACATTGGAAGTCATTCCAACAATTTGCTTGCTCCCTGCATGGCTGTCTTATGCTGCAACACCTCGTCGAAATCTGCAGGGTGGCAACAGTAACTGCATTAAGCATTGCAAATGCTTTAGCCAGGGCACAGCAGACCCTAATGGAATTAAACGCCTCAGATTTATATCATCATATGACACAGCAACTATGGCTGTATTCATAAACGTACCCTAGCCTCATTTTCAACACTAACACTATCAGTCGACCCACTGATTAAAATAATTACATATTTTCTATTGTCGTTCATGGAACTGTATTTGAGCACAGATAAATGACCACTACTTGTTACGAAGTCGCCCTAATTAAATATTTAACGAGTTTAAGCAAGTCAGGCTCAAGGACACAATGTTAATATAGTGAAGATCGAAATCATTTTAATACGATATCCATACAGGCTATAATTGCTTTCCCAGCCTCATTTAATATCTCTGATATGACTTAGGCGGAAACATAATGAAGGATTTCCTCGTTGCCGTCTCCGTAGATATTCTTCTTAGTTATTTCTGAATTGCCATGATTTCTGGGAAAGATAGTGGAGAGGTTTTTCATTGCTGTTTCCAAAGTTTCTTTTCTTTATTTACTGTAAATTGCTGTCAGATAATGGAATGCCTTCCCGTTGCTTTTGCCACAGATTCCGATTCATTATTATCTATGAAATGCTATGATATCTGGGGAAAGATAGTGGAACGGTTTTCCTCGTTGCTGTCTTGACAGTTACTTTTCTTTATTATATGAAAACTAGCAGCATGGCCCGGTGTTGCCCGTGCATGATTCAAAAATCGTACGACTCATACAGCAATCGTTATCACTTGACTTAAAATATTTTTTGCCCTTCCTTGCCTGTAAAGGATTGCCCATTGCCGTGCTGATGTTGCTACATGCCTTACTTCTTGCCTGTCTCACAATGCGAATTTTTTCCAAGCTCTATACTAAACATTAAATCTGTTACGAAAAAAGAACTAAACAAAATGAACATAAAACGATCAGCTTTAAAAAAGGACTCGTAACTGGAAAAACCGAATGAAAAAAGAATGTTAACAACAAATACTTTTTCACAACCCAACCCAGTTCAACGGAATCAGAATCAACGTTGAGTTTAAGCAAGCGAATGAGCCAATTAGAGTAAAGCGCCATCCAGATTTAAATTTTTCCCACTTGTGACGAATGCAGCTATCGTTTTTTTTTTTTTTTTGCATGCTAGCGTGCTAGTTAACATTCGTGTCAGTCAGCTGTTGGCTCTCACGCTGGCCAATAGAATCTTCCTGCCTATTCGTGGCAGCCAGCTATAGGCTATCCCTCTGGCCAGTAGAAAATGGCCACAAACTACATGAAAATTGCCGTAGAAGCATGAAAAAATTGATTATTTCCACTATCGATGGGAGTTGGGAAATGCAAAGTCGGTCTTGGCCTTTCCGCTAACTTGGAGCATGTGCATATAAATTTTGGTGCAAATCCGTTGAAATTTGCGGCCGTGCATTCGTTACACACGCACACACATCCTGCCTTTTATAGATAGAGATGGGAAAAAATAGTGGAGTGGTTTCCCGTTGCATTCTCTACAGATGCTTTTTCTTTATTATCTGTGAATTGTCGTGGCTGTTGGGGTGAATGTGGAGTGGTTTTCCCTTGACCTCTCCATAGTTTTAATTCCATTTCTTAGACTGAGGGCCAATCAAACTAGAAAAACAATCTTCCCTGCATCTTCTTAAATATCATATAGCTTCAAGATCTATTCAATAATATTTCGTTTATCATCTGTGACGTTCAACGATTTATTGGGAACGGTTGTCATTTAAGGCTAGGGATCCCAATCTACCCTACTATTTATCCTATAGCTGGAAGGTGAAACTGAAAAAATATCAAACAGTTTAACTCCAATTTCCAAGCATTTAAAAATGCTCCACCTTGTGCGTGAAGAATTATTTTCCTTTTCCAATCTACAACCTCTTTCCTCCAGACGATACTTTGTGAGCTATTCACTAATCTATAGAGATTTCCATGGCAGATGTTCGTACAAGCTGCATTTATTTGGTACAACCAGTTCAGACCTTCACAGCTCGATTCACTCGCCCGCGTACACAGGTTCGCCTTATATTTCATTGATTTGGTTTTCTTTCTGCTTAATGACCCATCAACCAAGATAGGGGTATTTAAGGCGAAATAAGGGTTTTGAATTGTGTGTATTTTTTGCCGTTGTGCCTTCAGGACAAACGCGAAATGTTGTGATAGCAACATCAAAGACAAAGAGAATAGTTCTTGTATTAATAATCTAATAGACCAGCTTATTTTGCACCAGAAAACCAATGGAAGTTCTTCAATAGCACAGAATCAAGTTACAAATCATACTAGCATCGTTTACAATATAGCCAACACCAAGCGTAATACGCCCGACTCAACCTTCCTCCAACAGATTAAACTGATCTTAAAACTTGAACTACAAACACGATGTGACTTTGCACTAAACATTGCATTCTAATCTTCAGAACAAATAAAATTTTTACACGTTTAATCAGCTGGGACCATGGTAACATGATTTACAATACCAACTAATATAAAATATTAAACGTTTAAGGAGATTAGTTTCGCATTAGCTATCTTAACAAAACATCAAGCAACGACACAATGTTCAAAGAAAATGCACCAATAAACATTAATTCATGGTTTAAGTAACATTTTTAAAAAGTTCCAAATGTTTAAGTAGCAAAATAAAGATGGCATATAAAATCAGTAGAGTGACAGAATAAAGACATATTTATTCTGTCTAATCATCAAAACTTTTCGCGACGGAAGTGATTAGAACGAAGTCCGTATTTCCTGATGAGTTCAACTTTCGTCAGAATTACCTCTGTATTACCGATGTCTAACTGTTTTCTCTGGCTGTTAAAGGGAATATAGACCCATAATTTTGTGATAAAAAGCAGCAATAGTAATAAGGGGTAAAACTATTCATGAAATGAGTTTTGTGATCGAATCAACAATAATAAGATGAAATAAAAGTAAAATATAATAATAATGGCACACATGTTCCATCTAAAAAATATCAGTTCAATAATAATATAAAGGAAGTCGTGAATATCCATGATCGTCTACTTCCGGAAAAGATAAAACATCATAAATATAGACAGTAATAAAATAAACCTAAAAATTAAAAGATAAGTATAATATATACCATTATTATAAACGAAGCAATGCAATGCCACGCCCATTGTAGCGAACTACCCTCATTCCCATCGTATTCCATTTTGGTAAAATGTAAGTTCCACTCGAGGAGTTTCTTTCAACGAACCGCTTCTAAAAGAAACCGATTCTCAAGACAATTCTTCCTGATCACAAGAAAACCTGTTCATTTCTAGGGTCAATCGTTATCTTCTACACATATCCCCATAAAATATGCTTCTGTTACCCGCTATCTCGAGTGGCTCTTCAGACTTGTACATGGTAAAAATCAGAGAAGTTTCCTATATAATATCTTCTATGCCTCTTGATTCCTTTGGAAACATAGAGCCGCAAAAACACTTCTCCGACGGACGCGGTTCCGGGCGATCCTCTTCACCTCGGCCTATATCGTACCGGCTGCTTTCACCTGTGCGTCAACACTTCTGTGCTAAGTGTGTTTTGTTCGACCCACTTTTCGCTTCCCTTGTGGATTCCATTCAAGGGCCTGCCTGGTGATACCAGAAGCAGGCTTGCGGGGTGTGTGGCTGATTTATCGGATTTCCGTTTCTTGATGTCAATCTCCATTAGGGCTTGTCTGGTCCTGTCCCACAGTTGGTCGTTGGAGACAACTTCTGGCCACCTGATATTGAGGATATTTCTGAGACATCGGTTGGTAAATGTCTGAATTTTGTGGGTGTTGGGCGATCCTCTTCAGATCGGCCCATGTCGGGCTGGCTGCCTTCACCTCTGCGCCAACACTTCTGCGCCAAGTCTGTCGACCCATTTTTCGCTTCCCTTGTGGATTTCAGTCAGGGTCCTGCCTGATGAAATTAGAACCAGTCTTGCGGAGTGTATGGCCGATTCATCCCCATTTCCGTTTCATGATATCAATCTCGACTGGGGCTTGTCTATTCCTGTCCCACAGTTGGTTTTCGGAGACGACTTCTGGCCACCTGATTTTGAGGATTTTCCTGAGACATCGGTTGGTGAATGTCTGAAGATTGTGGGTGTTGGCATTGTTTACCCGCCAGGTTTCTGAGCCGTAAAATAGGACCAACTTGACGTTAGTGTTAAAGTCTGGATTTTGTTGTAAAGGGAGAGTGCTATTGATCTCCAGTCGCAGAGAGTTGAAAGAGTGTCAGGCTTTGTTGATTCGGCACTTGATGTCTTCATCTGTCCACCCCCCATAATGTAACTATGTAGAATTATTTCTGGCGTCGCTGAACAATATTGTATCATCGTTTACATGATATAGACAGCTTCTTTGATGCTTTCATTTACCTGGCATCCCCACGAAGGTAGGTCGTGACTGTCACACAAAGTAATGTAGTGTATTTATGGGTCAAGGTAAAAACTTTCCCCAGTCTCCTTGACACGCTGTTGTCGATATTACGCCAACCTCTCTTAGTGTAATGATAATGATGGCATAAATTTGGAATCCCACGTACCAGATACCATTTTACCTTGTAAAATGAGAAGAACAGATACTACGCATTGATCCATCAGCCCGAATCAATGTGTAATATCTGTGATGTCAGACTTCAAAATCTTTGCCTGATGCACGTTTCTTCCGAATTCAATTAATATAGATCAAAGTAAAATTTCAATATTTCAAGAAAAATCAACCGTATATTTTTGGGGCCCGTCAACGTGGTGTAATGGTTAACAAGCTTGTATCACTAAATTAATTGCAACTCAATAGGGAGATCGATCTTCACTGGATGCTACATACTTTCGGCTTTGTTTCACGTCTAAAATACGCTTAGAAAATCACACTCAACTGTATATTTTTGTGGTACAAGATAAAATAACTCACAGAATACTATTATAGTTGAAATTAGACTTTCAACATTTTATATAAACAATGAATCAACGACTCAAACGCATACATCTGCCAAGAAAGGTCGCTGTCGCATGGCCTCTGTTATTTTCCAATGTAGAATGAGTACGAATCCAATTGTCTTTGTCTTTGATTCATGCAATCTAAATTTATTTTGAAGAAATT